TGGTTGTTCTCCCTTGGTTGGCTCTCTTTTTTGGATATCTCCACAAGAAAATGTAACTGTCTATTATAACTGAGGAGACTTCTGCTAACTGATAAGAAGATAAAGCATTTGATTATGAGCTAAAATCTGCTAATGTTGAGGATATTATGCTGCACTGGCAGCAAAGTTTTATCACAGCAAAGCAATTTGTCCACAGTCTTTGTTGTCAGGAAAGTATCTGCTATCTTTATTTTCTCCTGCACACCCCCAATCATTCTGTTTGTCCCTGTCTTATTTTACTTCTTGTTATTTTTGTAGTTCATTGTATTTCACAAGGAAAAAGAGGGGAGAAGCAAATTGAATTCTAGCTAGCCAGAGTAGTTCAGGAGGATAAGAGGCTCTTATAGCAATATGGAGGGAGGTGAAGTAGTAGAGATGAGGTGAATGAAATTATGTTTCTAAAATGGCTGATTTACTTAACTGCTTTGTAAATTGATCTTTAAACAGGGTAAGTTTATTAAAATATTTTTTAAAGGAAATAAACTGAAACTCTCCTACAATATAGTTCTAAATAATGTTCCTGTAGTTACTCATTAAAAAGCAGTAGATAGTTGGCAATGTTGGAACATGTTCAATAATACCAGATTTTGCAATATTTGTTTTGGGTCTTTAATGGAAAATTCCCAGTTTCTGCAGCGATTTTCAATACATAAAATACAGAAGCATTGTTCCTAGATCTCATGGTTGTGTAGAAGAGCATATGGAAATGTGAACAAAATCAAGTTCACCATTAAGAAGTATGTCATATGCAGTGTATGCTGTGTATGTAAGTATAAGCAAAGCAGCTTTTACATCTGTGTATTACATTAATGAGACCACCAGTAAGATACTGTGTCTGACTTTGTCTTTTGAAGTGTTAAAAAATTATGCAGAAGTTATCTAAAAGGGTTGGAGGGCTAGAAGAATATTTTGCATGGACCAACAGACGTATCGTTGTTCTTGGTTTTGGCTTTTTTTCAAATTGCCAGCATTTTTCCAGTGATTGTGTTGAACATAGTATAATGGATCTAATTTGACAGTAGGTTTCTTACTCTGAGATTACTCTCTGCAAGCCTTTTAGCAGCAGACCACAGATTAACAGGACTCTGTAGAACACAAGTTGGAAGTCATTGAATTCTTACATCAAAGGGTGGCCATGTCCAACAGCCCTTGCATTCCTGTGCAATTGAAGTTACTACACGTGTACACTATAGCCACACTGTATCAAAGTGGGATGAACTTGAGGCCAGATCATGTTCCCATACACAGCCACATGCAGCAGGTCAGCCATTTCTCTTTCATATAAGCACACAGGAGTTCATTATGTGTAATTCACTAGTAATTCAGTAAAGGATAATTAGGATTCGCTAAAGGATCATGTTAATTCACTAAAGGGTATTCATTTGGCCTGAGAATCTAGATCTGGAAACTCAGCCCTGACATTTTAAACAAATAAAGGATCACACCCAAATTTTAAAGGGAATGACTGACCATGGCAACAAACTGCTGCAGGGATTGGTAAGGTTTGTGTTGCTTGACATTATTTAAGCCATCTGGAAAGTCATGCTTTTGTCAGATACGAGTTTTTTCAGTTCACAGAGCCAGAAGAACAAAAGTTTTGGGTTTCTAGGTCTGTGACCAACTGGAAAATAGATAAGCTAAAGTATATTTTGGTATTAAACATTGAAAAGTAAGCATGTAGGAATTTTGAATAGAGGTAATTCTGGGTGGAGATTCTAATTTATTAAATCCTCCAGTTGAACAAGTACTTTGAGCATATGACACTTGGTGTTGACAGATAAATGATATGAGAAACTTAGGTAAAAAAAAAAAAGGGGGGGGGCGTTATCTCTAAGGAAAGGCAAGCTGACATATCTGGTGAAAACCACCTTAAGGCCAGATGTTTTAAGAGGAGATTTATTTGAAAACTATCTACTTGGAGCTGACCAGGGAGGGGAATGAGAGGGGCTTTCAGGCTCTACAGGAGTTTGTGGTGTGAGTCAGTAAGTCAGTGTGACACTTCTCCCCTCACAAAGCTTGGAGAAAAAGATTGAGCAGCCCTGCCTCCCCCAGTGCAGGGGCCAAACCTAGAACACAATGTCTGTTTCCAGATGCTCCTTGTCAAGCTCTGAACGTCTCAGTCTGAAATGCGACTTCCAATTTTAGGTGTTACAATTCTAGTCAGTTGTTAGTCTGCTGCTGCATTGGCTGCTGTGCCCTCCTTTTAGTAGAGTAGTCTGGGTGCTTGTCTTTTAAATTTTAAAATGGCTTGTACGTTTTCAGTAATCAATTGTCCAAAGGACAGCACATTCCTGTTAGACCAAAGCATTTATATTGCTGTAGTCCGTCTGTCTTCTAACACAGTCATTTTCTTGGATGGGAGTCATCCCCTTGCATTGTCCTCCTGCTTCCTTCTCCCATGTATAAAATGAAAGGGGCTCAGTATTTTTGCTTGATGAGGGCAAAGACAGCAGCTTCTTCTAATTTCTGTATTTTGCAGGCTGCAAAGGCCATTTCTGTGGATTCATGCATCCTGGCTTTGTAGCACCATCTCTGAACCACTACACTGTAGCTACAGCTCTACTAAGCAAGCCGGTTCTCAGTGCTGTTCTTTAGCCTCAAGGTCACTTGACCACATCCATGCTACCAGACATTCTTAGCCTTGAGACTCAGTGGCTGCATCCAGAGTGTTGGTGATTTCTGCTCCATGGAAAAAGCTGTGAGTTGGTCAGGAGTGCACTGGTTGTGGTGGACGAAAACTGTGCCAAAAACAGTTACAGTCATTTAATAATTCTGTGGACAAGTGTGTGTAGATCCTACGGTGCCACTTCCTGGGCACTATTTAATTTATTAGTATTGTCATGGCTGTACCATGTGTCTCAAGGATAGACCTGTTCCCATTGCCTAGCAGTTGCATTTTGTTACTCCCTGAAGAGACTCAGTCCCTTGCGACACCTTCAAAACCTATGGGCTTGGTTTACTTTACTGTGATCCATGTATGTGAAAAAAGACAAAATACATAGAATCATAGAATGGTTAAGATTGGAAGGCACCTTAAAGATCATCTAGTTAGAACCTCCCTGCATGAGCAGGGACACCTCCCACTAGACCAGCTTGCTCCAAGCCCCACCCAACCTGGCCTTCAACATTGCCAGGGAGGAAGTATCCACAACTTCTTTGGGCAATCTGGTCCAGTGTCTCACCACCCTCACAGCAAATAATTTCTTCCTAATGTCTCATCTCAATCTCCCCTCTAGCAGATTTAAACCGTTCCCCCTCATCCCTTCACTCCATATCCATGTCAAAAGTCCCTCTCCAGCTTTCCTGTAGCCCCTTCAGGTGCTGGAAGGTGCTCTAAGGTCTCCCCAGAGCCTTCTCTTCTCTAGACTGAACAGAGGTGCTCCAGCCATCTGATCTTTGTGGCCTCCATTGGACTCACTCTAACAGCTCCATGTCCTTCTTGTGTTGGGTGCTCTAGAACTGGACACAGTTTTGCAGGTGGGGTCTCACAGAACTGGAGTAGAGGGAATATTTGCCTCCCTTGACCTGCTGGCCATGCTGCTTTTGATGCAGCCCTGGATATGTTTGGGCTGCAGCAGTACAGCAGTTGAAGAAGTTCTATCACTCTGTGCCAGCGCAGAAATGGAAATAAGGAGTGATCTTCAAAGTTTGTAGAAAGAAATAGCCAGCCCTGTCCCTGAAAGGTCTCAAATGATCATGACAGCCATCATCCCTCTTAATTTTTGTAGGGTACTTGGAATTCTTGACTTTCCTGAGGCTGCTGTTTGTCTGCTCTTGCTTGTAGGGCTTATATATTAGCTCTGTCATATCTCCTGGAGTTTGAGTGATCTCTTCACTGTGCTCTCCTGCAGGAATTGTAATAAACCCTTGACTCTTAAGAAGATTTACAAGAAGGATGGAAAATGCCTTGATCTCTTTGCCAAGTTCTGTCTGCCCTTCATCTGCCATCCCTTCTTCTAAAATCTTGAGTTCTGAAGGAGGTGATCTTGTCATTTGTATGTCATTTAGGTCTGTAGTGAGGAGATGTAAGAAGGAAAAGAGATTGAAGGGAGCATATTGCATTTTTTTCAGTTCCATTTCTGGGCTTTGCAGAAAATACATGTTCATTGTTCTCGCACCTTGGGAAGCTGAGGAGTTAAAAATGCTTTTGATGAGCACCATGATGACTGAGTTACATGGAAGCCTGCCTTTGGAAGGGAAGAGGCTGTAGACTTATTTCTTAAATGAAAGCTCAGTAGTAATTGGATGTGCTGCACTTTTCTTGTTAGGGCAAGAGACCTGTGACAACATTCCAGGTTCAAAAGTTACTAACTTCAGAAATCAAACTTCAGAAATAGGACTTCAGTCAAATCAACCGTGGTCCTACAGGCCACTAGAATTTCACCTAGGTGTGTTTTTATCTTCCTTTTTTCAAGGTAGCAACAAAAATTTAGGGCATCTTGAACTTTCGCTCTTAAGTTTCGAAAGAGTTCAGATTCATAAATCTCACATCATAACTGGTTAAAATTTCTTCAGAGAAAGCCAATCTCTGGCCTCAACCTAGCAGTTTTGGAATCTGGGATTTCTATATGGCAGATACTTAGCTATGGGCAACATTTTATTTGAAATCAAGTTGCAACCTTAACACTGAGCAACCACTGTCTCTCTGTAGCAGCAGTTTATCAAAAGCTAACTGGAGTACTAACTGGAGGTTTCTTGTAGAAGGTGTATGGAGTGTTAGTAGAAGAGAGAAATGCTATTTGAGCACTTCAAATAAGTCCATTTGCTAAATAATGAGACCAGCATTCATAAGAGGTTGCCTGCTGAGCTTGTTGGAAGGTGGTCTGTTCCACTGCCAGCTCCGTCATGTGTGTGGCTTACATTTTTGGATCAGAATCTTTCCTGCATCTAAGGTACTTTCCATGTACCACAAAAAAATCTTGAACTAAAGTATTTGCTTTTACATTTTACCTTGTTTTCAGTCTGCTGGAAACCATGTCTCACTACACAGACGAACCAAGATTTACCATAGAGCAGATAGACCTGCTTCAGCGCCTGAGACGTACAGGAATGACCAGACATGAAATCCTACATGCACTGGAAACCTTGGATCGTCTTGATCAAGAACATAGTGACAAATTTGGAAGAAGGTCTAGCTATGGAGGTGGCTCCTACAGCAACAGTACCAACAATGTCCCAGCATCTTCCTCTACAGCTACAGCTTCAACACAGACCCAGCATTCTGGGATGTCCCCATCACCGAGCAACAGTTATGACACCTCCCCACAGCCTTGCACTACTAATCAGAATGGGAGGGAGAGTAACGAGAGGTTGTCTGCGTTCAATGGGAAGATGTCACCTACCCGCTACCCACTTGCAAACAGCTTGGCTCAAAGGTCATACAGTTTTGAAGCTTCTGAAGAGGACTTGGACATTGATGACAAAGTGGAAGAACTGATGAGGTTAGTAGAAGTATTTTTAAAAAGTTTGGAAGGTCCCTGCTCTAATAGTGAAAGGTATTACCAAGGAAGCAAGAACTGCTGTAGACAGCTGTTCTGCTGCTAGTTCCCTAATGGTCACTATCTCAGTACCTCTCACCTGCCTCTCAGTCTTGTAGGTAACCCCTGGCTTTGTGTGGGTATCCCAGTCTGTTCTACTGTTGAAATATTTTACCCATGCTGTCCCAAATACTGAAATTGATGTTAGCGTTTTAATTTTTCTCCCTACTCTTATTCAGAAGGCTTCTGACTGTCAATTCACATGACTCTCCCTCCACTACTTCATACCAGTTGATATTTCCTTCCATATATAGAAGGAGTAGGGAATCTGCTTGGTTAATGCTTTCCACTGGTATCTGCAGAACATGGATGTTACCTGTTTATAGTTTGTGGTAGGGACTGACTCTCCCTGGGATTTGCAGCCTGCAGATTGGTGTAGAAAAATACAAATAATGAAGAAGCAGGAGTCTTCAGTGAAAGCCAGTTGGTTTGTTTTGTTGGGTTTTTTCTCGACTGACCTTCCTTTACTTTTAGCAGCTTCCTTTTTGGCATTACAGCAAAGATGAAAGGAGAAGATTATACTAGTGAGGATGAAAGTCAGAGTCAGTATGCTTGATATCAAGAAGAAATAGGAAAGGCCAAATGTCTTGAAACAATTTTGGTCATAATGTTGGGATGTCTATTTTTCCCCCAAATTGCAACATTTATGAAGTACCTCTGAGAGAACTGGGGTCCAGAATGAAGGTATGTTTTGAAGGAGTTTGGAGATTTAGGGTAAAGGTGTGGCTTCTGGAGGGGGGGGGGGATTAGAGGTGAGCAATAAAAAAAGACGATCAACCTCATTTTCTGTTGGCTGCAGGATGATGGAATAATGCAGGAAGGTGGTGAGCATAGCAGTGTGCAGCTGTCCCCATTGCTGAAGTTTAATAATTTCTTCGAGTTGTGGGTTTGTGTGCAATAAGTCTCTGGTAATGCTTTGGGTTCTTATTTAAACTGAAACTACTTTCATTTGCAGGCATATGGAAGATGACTGTTGGGTACAGAAATAAAAATGAACCCACAACATAGCATTTATTTTGCATTTACGTTTGCAAGCTTGAATCTGCCTTGAGTGCTGCTGGGCAGGAGGGGAGAAGGGAAAGGGAAATTACTAAATAATAAAGCCTAATAAAGTCTGATTTTAATTGTCTGCCCTTCTCAGGAAGGGAGGGAGGAAGACAAGGGAAAAGTAAGCTTTTACTGCAGCTGAACTTTGCTGCATATCTCAGTCCCTTTGCAGCCTCCAAATTACTTTCTTTTTAGCCCAGCTTTAGTCCCTTCTGAACTATCTTTGCACACCTTGTAAAAATCGTACAAGGGCTTTAAAAAACTGACACTTGTTCATTCAGTGCAAGCTGTGGACTGATTAATTAGTGGGGGGGGGATAGAAGCTGCAAAATCTTCTCTCCTTTGGGTCATTTTGTTGAAAGGTTGGAGGAGGTTTGTTTATGTGTATATTCCTTTGTGTAGCTACCAGTGTGGACCCTGCTATCCTTTATTTTTTATTTTTGTGCCTCATTTTTATGACTGAGGTTTTTATGCTGGTATGAGAGATTTATTCATCCCTGTGTAATGAAACTTTGTACATTCCATATGGCAGTGCTGCACCTAATATGAATTATATAGGACATGAGTCATCCATTCTGCTGCTAGGGTACTTTGATCAAACGTGATACTTGTTAAAAGAAGTGTCCACTGCTGAGGCATTTTGACAATTTTAATGCCTGCCTTCCCCACTCCTCATCCCTTAAATAAAAGGATATAAGGCCATTTTGTGTCTTCAAAGTGCACTTTGGGCTCTCTGTCTTTTTGTGTGTTCTTTTGTTGTTTTTTTTTTGTTGTTGTTGTTTTGGTAGGAGGGACAGCAGTGTGATAAAGGAGGAAATCAAAGCCTTCCTAGCCAATCGGAGAATTTCCCAAGCAGTTGTTGCACAGGTAACAGGTAAGAGCTCGGGGAGGCCTTTCTTCATTTTGGGAAGCTGTGTCTAACTGCCTGTCTGTGCATGGTGCAGATGTTGGAATACTGCTTGGCTTTCTGCATTGCAGTGCAGATCTGTCAGCTTAGTCATGATAATGTATGCCTTTGATTTAAGACCCATTGTCCCGCACATCATGGAACTTCCCCAGTGAATCACTTTTTCTTTTTTTCTTTTTTTTTTTGTGGCTTGTGCTAGCAGATTTTATTTTACAGTGTTATAATAAGCCCAAAGTTCTTATCTTAAAATGAAAATGGTTTTCCCTAATTCTTAAATTGTTGGTTGAGTGCAGCAAATAGATGCATATCTGCATCTCTGTGTATGGAGAGAGAAATGTAATGTGTATTTATATTATAGAATGTAGGAATAGTCAGGAGGCACAGCCATAGCTGGTATCGCTACATCCAGGAGTCAGATTCTGGTAGTCATTTGCTTTTGTATCACAATTAATGAAAATCAGATGTGAGGTTGAGGGGTTGACCTCAGCTTTTACCTAGAAGGTGAAGTAGTTCTCTTTTCGCCTTCTGTTGTGTGCCTTCTCTCTCTAACGTTCAGGACAAGTGAACACACTCCACTGATACCACGTCTTCCTTGGGTATGTTTCCAGAGCTTTACACAAAGAGTAACGAATTCTTACTGGTCCTCCAAGGGGTGGGGTGCTATTAGTTCTCCTTTACAGCCTGACACTGCTTGTCCCCAGGAGTACAGCAGTTAGCATATTTAGGATGAAAACTTGATGATAAAATACAGATAGTTCAATCCCATGATATACCTATAACATTTATTCATTTTTAAATCCAAGCTTAAATAACGATCTTGAAATAGATCAATTTTAAGGTTCCTTGATGACTAGGAATGCTAAACCCAGCAGGAGGGAGGTTGTTCTTTTATGATATTTCCAGTATTTGAAATGTCATAAGAACCCATCTGTCTGGGAGATCTAGATTTACAGACAAGCTAGTTGTTTAGTTAGGCAGGCAGAAAGGCTTGAGCTATGGAGCCAGCAATTACTTCCATGTCTCCAACTCTTCTCTGTGATCTTGGGCAAAATTAGTTGTCCTTCTCCAGTTTCAATTTCGTCTGTAAAATAATGAGATTAACGTTTTGTACAATTCCAGGCATGTTGTTAGTCTCATGAGATGTTAGTATAAGTACTCAAAAAATTAAATATTAAGCCTAGTTGCTTAAGTTCTATCCAAACTGTGAAGTTTAGGTAGTTAGTGGGTCACTCACTTTTTTTTTTAGTCCTTACCTGAATATAGTCCTGGAGTAGTCCATCTTCTAATTAACCTGTTTTATGGGAGCAAACAGAAAATATTCCAACTCCAGCACCATTCACATCAACCAGCAAGCCAAACTAGCTTCCCCTTCAATAAAAGTAATGCAGACACAAAAACACTGTAGGAGAGTATTTCCAAAACAAGCCAGCATTTTTCTTTCAGTCAGTGGGACTTACTACATGCAGGGCTGTTGGATCAGGATCACCACACCAAGTTTCAGACAGAGTCTCTATCAGTAATGATCAGCTGATCTAATGATAACTAGCTAAATGTCTCAGTGCGTGTCTTGATACCCCTGCAGGCAAACTGTAGCAAAGTCAAGACCAGCCTCTTCACAACTGATCATTTTACTCCTTCCATCCTCAGTCTGCTCTCTTGGATTTCAGCTGTTAAAATAATTTAAGTTGGCATTTAGGCTTTGGGAGCTTTTTATTTTCTTTGCCAAGTCATTCCTCCTGTGAGTAAATGGCACTATCTACTTCATACACGGTTGAGTAAGTTTCTCAGCCATCCCACTCAACCCTACTGCGTAACATGGGGGGAATCCAGAATGCATACGCACTAATCAGAGAATATACCACTGGGTGTCTCTTTCTAGCCTGTCAGTGGAACAGAACAAAGACTGAACCAATGACACTATTATTATCTTATTTTCAAGCCAAATCAATGGGAAACAAGGTAGATGTAAAGGTTAAATGGCTACGTCCTTTTGCAGCTGACCCAGTAGTTTTTCCATGGACCTTTCAAATGAGAAAAGAAAGTAAAATGTTACATGTGATGCAGTTGCTCAAGCTGAGATGGCAGCAAGGCTTGCACTGCTCTGTGACACACCAGCCTCTTCCACCCCTACCCTTTGCAGTTGAACTGTGTCATCCTCCATATGCTTGATGGGAAGGTCTACAGGAGCAGATTAATTATAAATATAACCCACAGCCTTGTGTAAGCAGATGTGTAGTACTTATGTGCCTTTATTAAGTATATAGTTATGGCTTATCTGAAAAGAATAGTAAATCTCAAAGAGATGTTTGAGGACCAGATTAAAGAGTGTGCTCAGCACTACCAGGGAGAAACATCAACTCCTTTCAAAAGCACAGCATGGTGAAGAGTGACTGAAAATAGCTCAGGACAGAGATCCAGAGCAGAAAGCATGTGTCCCAGGGCTCTCTCCTCCAGGGTTGTCTTAGGCCTGATGAGTGCTGGTTGACTTGTTTATTCTTCAGATGTATCCAACGTGCCTTTCCATTCAGTTGTCAAACAGGGTCCCAAGGAAGGTCTGGAAACCACTTTTAGTTCATTAAAACAGCAGTTTGTATAGGCAAGGGTAATGCTTTGCAGAGTATATGTTTCCAAATGGTATCAGTATTTACTAGTCTTTACCAGTCTTACTGGTAAAACTGTTCTGTAAATAATTCAGTACACAAGGGGAAAAATAGATAAATAAAATCCAAATAGATAAATAAAATTGACTGTAGCAGATGGTGTGGGGAAGGACCATAAGATTGTAATGATACCTTTTCAGAATACCGTTCAACCTCCAGTGATCCGTGTCTCAGGGTCCTCTTTATTATATTGCACATAGAGGTGGAACTCTGTTCTGGCCAACAAAGAGGCTGAAAGGAGGTGATTCTGCAAGACTAGATCAGCACCCCATGGAGGCTAGTGTGCTTGCGGCCTTCATCACCATTTGCTGTAATACAAATACAGCAAGCTTTTTCTGGAGGCCGCAGTGCAGATGTTGGGAATATTTGACTTGCCCATCCACTGGCTACCACCCTGCATCAACTGGAAGTATTTTGTTTAGCACTTGAAATAAATTCAGAATAGTGTGACTTCAGCTTTTAACATTCATCTCTTCTGCTTCAGGAAGAGACTAATCTCTTCTGCCTCAGGAGGCAAGAAAGAAAGAAAACAGATAATTTATGACTGGCTCTGTCTGGGGAGAGAGAGTTGGTTGGCTTGGCTACCCAATACTGTCAACTTTTTAATCTCTAGCAATTTATTTACTACCCTAAAAAATTTTATGTGTCTGTATGCAATAGGAGGGGAGAATGGCATAGAGGGAAGGAAGTAATAGTGCATGTGAACAAAGTGATATTAGACCTTCAGCTAGGAACCTAAAACTTTGCTTCCTTTTCTTAGCTATGGCTGGGTTTGAAGTTGGGCAAATTGAACATGGAAGTGCTGAACTTTAGCTAAACCAGAGTATTTGCATGTCTTCAAATTGCAGGTCTTGGATTAGCTCATCAGAGAGGGTGATGTTTCCCCTGTGCTCATCACAGTATTTATCCCCATTCTCTATCTTGTGTTCTGTCCTTGGTATGGGAACTTCTACTGCAACTTCTGCCCCTTGAAACTTCAATTTCTTCCTATTTCACTAATTCTTCAAGGCACTTGAAATTTCATTCAGAAATGTATTTCTTGTATTTCTCATATCTATTCTAATATTGCAGTGCATTTACAAAATACACTTTCCCACATCAGCCACAAGCTTACAAAGCACACTGAGCAGCCTTGTGTTTACAGGCTCTGCAAGAGTATATGACTTTTCCTTTTGTTTTCCTGTGCTGCAGGACAAGGGGATAGGAAGTGATAGAGAGGGAGGATACTTGAGAGAGGGACACGGAACTGAAGGTTAAAGTTAGCTGTTGCAGTAGAAGAATTCTTTAGGCTCTCTCAGTTGTTACAATATTACCAGAAACATTAAAAGTCATTTAGGTAATGAATGTGACATGGGAAATTAAACCTGGAAGACATTCTACAAGACTGCCTTTTGTATTGAGATGAGGGCAGATTGGAAAATAGTAACGGAGTATTAAATGGTGACTTCAAAATAAAGGAGTGATTGATAAGAAGCAAAAATGTAGCATAACACTTATTAGTGCTAGTCCTAAATACAGGAGCTGCTTTTTATAGAAACTTTTTAATGGTGTCTGTAATAAGATAAACAAGAAGCACTTGGGTTGGGCTCTGTATAAATAATCTCCTACTGATAAGAGAAATGACAGTATAAACAGGAGATAATAATAGTTCCTGCTG